TCAGATGATGGATTGAATAGTGCACCATAAGATGTTCAAAGCTTGGGATACTTTTTTTTTTTTTATAACCTAACCCTGCTTTAAACTTCGCCTCAACTTTATCCCTGACCTGTTTGTTCACTAATGTTCTCTAGCAAACCTCTGAGGGCTTCGCAGACCAGCTGTATATATACTGAAATTAAATTACACACTGGTGGATTCTATTTACGAATTAGGTGACTTCTGAAGGCAATTGGTTCCACTAGATTTTATTTAGGGATATCAGAGTAAAGGGGGCTGAATACAAATGCATGACACGCGTTTCACTTATTTGTAAAAAATTTTGAAAACCATTTATCATTTTCCTTTCATTTCACAACTTGGTGTTGGTCTATCACATAATATCCCAATAAAATACATTTACGATTTTAGCTGTAACATGACAAAATGTGGAAAATGTCAAGGGGTATGAATACTTTTTCAAGGCACTGTATAGGCGGCATATAACCCACATAGTCATGAATAGCCTGTTCTGTGTCCCGTAATGTACTCCCAAGAAAAGGATTTTACAGGTATATTTGAAAATTGATCAGTCCTGATGTACTGACTGCCTATCTTGTTTAATGAGGCCCTAAAATGCCACAGTACACCCCCCCCTCCAAATGACCCATTTTGGAAAGTAGATACCCCATGGTATTTAGTAAGAGGCATGGCAAGTTTTTAAAAGTTCTTACAAAAAATTGCGACAAAAAAAATTAGAAATTAAATACAATTTTTTTTTTTTTTTTGTCTCAAAGTTGTCATTTTAAGTTATTTATCCCACACAGCATAGGCATACTTATTACACCCCAAAACACATTCTGCTATGTCTCCTAAGTATGGTGATACATATGTGAGGCTTTTTCACAGCCTAGCCACTTGGAGGGGCTCAAAAGCCAAAGAGCACCTTCAGGTGTTCTAGGGAGATAAATTACACCTCCTAATATCCTGAATGTCTATCACATTTTTGGAGGCCCTGGAGCACCAGGACAGTGAAATCACCCACAAAATAACCACATGTTGCAAAGCAAACACCCCAAGGTATTTTTTTTAGGAGGCATGGGGGTTTATTTACTAAAGATGGAGAGTGCAAAATCAGGCTCAATTTTGCACAGAAATCAATCAGCATCTAAGCTCAACTTGTTCAATTAAGCTTTGGCAATAAAACCTGGAAGCTGATTGGTTTCTATGCAGAAGTAAGCCTGATTTTGCCCTCTCAAGCTTTAGTGAATACACCTATTTGGTGAGTCTTTTGAAGACTTCATTTTTTGACACAAGTTTTTGAAAAATGTAGAAAGAAAGTTAATTTTTTTTTTTTAAACAAAGTTGTCCGTTTTAACAGGAGTATGGTGATACCACGTGTGAAACTTTCACTGTCTGGGTTGATTATATACCGGATGTGGTATCGTGTGTCACACAAATCAACCAATTGTATAAAAACCAATGTACTGTAATGGTCACCTCTATGAGTGATCAAGGGATATAACTTCGTGTAGCATCCCCTATAGCAGTCCCAGGGGATAGCTGGTACTGGTGTCTTACAGGAACATAGTCAGTTGGACATGCAGATGGGTCAGTTCAGGTTGCAGGCAGAGTCATGGCCAGTAAACAGGCAAAGATTCGGTCTAGGCAACAGGCAGAACTGTGGTCAATAAACAGGACAGAGCCATAACAGGCGGCAGACAGAGGAAACACTGCACTGTGCAACAGTGATGAGGAACATTTTTGTTGGCTGCACTGGTCTAGTGACAATGGGGACTAGTGTGGCAGTAATCAGGAACACTGCTGCTGACTGATACTGGTCAGGTGACACCGGGACTGATGTGGCAGTGAAATTTGGCTGGTGTGGTGGTGATCAGGGATGCTGTGAGTGGGTGGAGGTTAATAAGAACAATGATCTGTGGAAGCATGATGTCAGCATAGTGTAAGGCCCCTTTCACATGGGGCAGACTCTACCTGCGATTCACTTGCTCAATGGGGGATCTGTCTGCTGATTCCCACTGAGCAGGCTGATGACAGGTCTGTGTGTCAAACACAGCTAGCTCTCCTCTATGGGTGATCGGATATAAACAGACTGCCATCTGATCTGCCCAGCAGATTGAATGTAGACGGATGTAAATGGACAAATTGAGATTAGTTTACATAATATCTGTAGGCCAAGTGCAGCCTTCCCAAAAACTAGCCAGAAAACTACCATTTTGGGACATGCTGCATAGAGGAACAAGTGCTCTATCACTCAACTGCACATGCAGTGTGCCCGCTCTCCCTCCCCTAGCACATCAGCAATGAGTGAACTTTTAATTAAAGCTGCATTTTCCCATACAATTTAATTTTTTCTTTTATCTTCAGTTAGGTGTCGACAGTTGCTTTTAAAGAAACCAAGGATAAATAAATGGCCTGCAGCCAAGATTAAATGTCAGAGCTCTGTCATGCATATGTATTCCATGCAGTGACCAGCAACGGCAGTGAAGCTGAGATTATGATGATGCCTTTAAAGGCAAACTCCATTATTTACACCATGGTGCCAAGCAGACTTCCCACCCCTAGAGTGCCCCCTCTCCATGATAGCATGCAGGGGTTGTTCTTTCCCCAAAGCAGATGACTCTGCCTGTACAGCTGCATCATTCATTCACAAAGATCTGCCACTGTGACACAGATTTCTAGATTTCAGTGGCACACAAGTTAGATATTCACCTTACTTGGCAATTGCCACTTCCTCCAGCACTCCATTTGAAAGCCTGTACCTCAGTATGAACAGAGAACAAGCCTGTCCTTACACCCCCAAGCCACTGATCGTGGGTGCAATGCTTTTCATGTTCCAATGGAAAATAAAATAAATAAATGCACATTTTACATTTTTGGCACTGGGCTGAAAACTAGAGAGTAAATGAGCATGTGCAGAGCAGGGTGAGACACTGTATTACTGGATTTTAAACCGAAAAAGGCACTTCTTCGTATTATTTACATAGCTATATTGGCAAACGGTGCCAGCATGAAGTGATCAAGATGTTTTTTGACTAAAGGTACACTTCCAAATCTTTTTTTTCTGTCATAACAGACTTCCCTTTAGGAATTATATATATACTGCGTGTGTATATATATATATAGAGGTATGAACCCTCATATTTTTTTCTTTTTTCTAGGAAGAAGAGATGGAGAATATCACACAGATCCTGTACATGCTGCAGCCTCCCTCTTTGTTGTTTCTATCTTATTTGTACAGCTTTTGTATAAAAGGTTTTATCTTTTTCAGTGTACCAATGTTTCATGTCTTTCTTTGTTTGAGGCATTATTGGAGATACCCATAATGGTCATAGAATTAAAAAAAAAAAAAAAAAAATCCCAGATCTACCCAGTGACTTCAGACCAATGCTGGCATGTTCTTCCACATCTGGTGGGACTGCCCCCTCATTGCCGAGTCTTGAACCAAGGTCCATGACATTATTTCACGTGACAGGGACTGCCATGGATTTCTCCCTGGCACAGTATCAATGTGGCATGCTTATGTATCCCTCTACATTGGGGAGATACTAAGCCACCCAGTATATGGGAGTGGCTTGCCCGCTTTGAACAGTTGGAGGAAATGGAGCTCATTTTTACATCTCAGGACAGGATCTTGGCCTTCACCAAAACGTGGGCCTGCTGGCTACATTTAAAGCTTCAGATGACTAAAAGGACCTTGTGTTCTGATCACTTTGTTTTACTTTCCCAATCAATGGAGGCGTACTGCGTTGGAAGGAGTGCGATATACTGTCATGGTGGGATTCCTGATCGCACACTTTGCACCACCCGATGAGATACCATGGAATTAATCATCCGCTGTCTTTATGCTGGGAAGATACTTACTCCCCCCCCCCCCTTCCTTTTTTTTTTTTTAAAAATAAAAACTTCGAGAGATGACTTGGTCTAGGCTACGGTTGCCAACTGTATTCCCTTAGTCCCTCCCCCCCCCCCTTTTTTTTTTTAATGTCGTCCTCAGTTGTCAGCCAGTTATGCAAAGTAGATTACGGACTTGGGCCAATTGTTATTCAGTAATCTGATGACGGCTCTGTGTTTTTTTTTTCTTCTTAATACTGTTGTAATATTTGGAATGTTAAAAACTTGCATTATTCAATAAAACATTATTATGGGGAAAAAAAGAAACCCCATGAGGTAGTAGATTTGTCATAACAATGGACCATCCTTTTTCTTAAATCTGCCACTTGCTGTTTCAGTCCCAGCTTTAAGCTATTGGAAGTGCTCTTGAACATACCGATCACTGCATCATATTGGTGTTAACTTTCACTGCCATTCCATTTTAAATTACTTTTTTTTTTTTTTTCGTGGTGGAATCCACGAAATGGCTGTAGCTATGGGTGGCAAATTGTGGTTTAAATTTCCATCCAACTGGATGAAAAAAAAGATGAAGTCTCTAGAGGGTGTAGTCAGCATTTAGCTCTAAAGCTGGCCATACATGGATAACTTTTCGGACAGTTCAGTAGGAACCAGCTGATGTTCAATCCATGTATAGAGAGGCTGATTGTACAGAAGTCAAATGTTGGAAAATTTCTGAGTGGTCGGTGCTGCTGGCTAGAGCTAGCAGTGCTGGATCAGTGTATCCTGACTGCAGGGAAGTCTTCCCCACTGTCAGAAATACAATACTTTAGTGGAAGAATTTCCTCACCCACATAAACTGTATCGCATGAGTGGGATCAAGTCATTTTTTTTTCCTTTAAGTTTTTTTTATTGATGTTCTAGTGAAGAAATTTTAGAACCTCTGTAAGGATTGCATTGCTTTTTTTAGTCAATTTCTGCCACAAAGGATAGGTGACTATCTCTACGTATTCCTATTCAGAACCTGTTAGGCAATAGAACCGGATTGCTTGCTGTGGGTCACAACACCTCTTTCTTCAGCTATGTTAAAAATAAAACACTGACAAGCTAAATCCATTCTCAGGGTTTATTTAACATGTCACACAATAATAAGCAATTATCGTCCATATTTATTCTTCCCCCATCATTTTTTTCAAGTGCGGCCTGTACATCTTGCGCAGTCGGGTCACTTCTTTGGCTGGTGGTTCTTGCCACTCGTACCAGGAATACCATGGCCCTTCTGGAGCGGGTGGAGTTTGTGTCACAGCTCCATGTTTATATGAATATTCTCCAAAGGTCACATCTTTTTGTTGTATCATCACTGGGAGAAGACCTGGAGAAAGTGATCAGTTTTTACATCACACTAGGAAAACTCGGCTCCCTCTCTGCTTATTTTATTAAAATGTCTGAAAGGAGAATTGTTAGTGTTATTTATAGCAACTGCTCAAATCCTCGATCTAATTTTTCTACTTGGTGTAAATGGTAAGTAGAATCTTGTGGCTACAGACTGTTATTTCAGTTACTGACAAATAGGACTTTAACCACTTCCTGTCCGGACACTTTTACCCCCTTCCTGTTCAGGGCAATTTTCAGCTTTCAGCGCTATCACACTTTGAATGACAAATGTGCGGTCATGCAATACTGTACCCATATGAATTTTTTACCATTTTTTTGAGACAGATAAAGCTTTATTTTGGTGGTATTTATTCACCGCTGGGATTTTTATTTTTTTTACTATGTAAATGAAGATGTCCAAAAATTTTGAAAGTGTTTTTTTTTTTAATAAAATTTTACAAATATTTCATCATAAATCTTGGCCAAAATTTATTCCGTAATTTTTTTAGTAAAAAAAAAAAAATCCAAATTAGTTTTATAACCAAAAATTATAATTTTTAAACATTTTTTTTTTACATTTATATTTTTTTTTTATATTTTTTATTTTTACATACTGTCACCCTAGCAGTACAGTGTCACCATGGTGACACTGTACTACTTGTGGGGGGTGATGAAGATTTTTTTTTTTTTACACTGATTGCTTTTACACTCATATAGGATGTAAAAGCAATCATTTCTCTTTCTCTCTGCATTCTTGCAGTCATTGAGAAGTACTGAGTGAGCTGTGATTGGTCACAGCTTGTCACATGGTACAAGGCTGTTGTGAATAGCCTTGTACCATGTGACCTCTGTGATCATTCACACGTAGTAAGCAATGATGTCACAAGTGACATCTTGCTTACTACTTTGCATGTGATCACTGATTCGCCAATCAGTGATCACATGATCGGGACCTCGTACAGAGGTCCCGTCTGACGATCGGTGTTTCACTGTGTCCGGAGGACACAGCGGGCACCGGATCGCGGTGCTGCGCGCTCCCAGGGAGCGCGCACAGCTAGAAAAGGCGGGTGCCGTTTATGAAGGCAACCCGCCCCTGGAGTGCCACCGCCCTGCCGTTTATCAACAAGAGGTTAACTCTAGACAAATGAGAATGATAGGTTTGTTTGTACTGTACACATCTATATTGTTCTTCACATATATGACCCCTACTTAGCAGTACAGCACAGTGAACAGACTTTACTGTGCTTTTCCAATGCACCTCTATGGTCAGCTCAGACTATCCAAACACCACATACTGTATCTAAATTAGGAAAATAGTTTTATTCTAGCAGTTCTCTTGATTAAAGCAGGCTATAGAAGAGTCAAAAACCGATGGAAATTCTTGGTCGTTCATTCTTCACATCATTAGTGGGCCAGTTGTGACAGCCAATTTTTGTGCCACAATCGAAAGTTCCCGATCCAATGTACTCAATTTTGTTTTAGAAAAATGAAACAAATGATGGCACAATTGTATGTGCTATTTTCAGAACATTTGGTTTTCGTCTCGTCTATGGCCAGCTTAAGGCGTCTTGATTTACAGATAATCCCTAAAAGAAAATGGAGTCAAACACTGAAGACTTGTGAATCAGCGGTAACAACCTCCTAGAGTGCTAGCTCTGCTCTGAAATTAGGAGCAGTGCAAAATTGTTACCACACCATCACAGGAAGCCACATTAGGTACACTTAGCAGCCTCAATCATTGAGGCCAATACTTCATGGTGAGCGCATATTTTATTACAGTGTGTGGGGAGAAACACTTTAATTTACCAATTTATGAATAACAACAATGAACACTGGACTTTTAGTTTGGTTTATTTACACAGATTTGTTGGATTGTACAGTCAGGTCCATAAATATTGGGACATCGACACAATTCTAACATTTTTGGCTCTATACACCACCACAATGGATTTGAAATGAAACAAACAAGATGTGCTTTAACTGCAGACTGTCAGGTTTAATTTGAGGGTATTTACATCAAAATCAGGTGAACGGTGTAGGAATTACAACAGTTTGCATATGTGCCTCCCACTTGTTAAGGGACCAAAAGTAATGGGACAATTGGCTTCTCAGCTGTTCCATGGCCAGGTGTGTGTTATTCCCTCATTATCCCAATTACAATAAGCAGATAAAAGGTCCAGAGTTCATTTCAAGTGTGCTATTTACATTTGGAATCTGTTGCTGTCAACTCTCAAGATGAGATCCAAAGAGCTGTCACTATCAGTGAAGCAAGCCATCATTAGGCTGAAAAAACAAAACAAACCCATCAGAGAGATAGCAAAAACATTAGTCGTGGCCAAAACAACTGTTTGGAACATTCTTAAAAAGAAGGAACGCACCGGTGAGCTCAGCAACACCAAAAGACCCGGAAGACCACGGAAAACAACTGTGGTGGATGACCGAAGAATTCTTTCCCTGGTGAAGAAAACACCCTTCACAACAGTTGGCCAGAGTAAGAACACTCTCCAGGAGGTAGGTGTATGTGTGTCAAAGTCAACAATCAAGAGAAGACTTCACCAGAGTGAATACAGAGGGTTCACCACAAGATGTAAACCATTGGTGAGCCTCAAAAACAGGAAGGCCAGATTAGAGTTTGCCAAACGACATCTAAAAAAGCCTTCACAGTTCTGGAACAACATCCTATGGACAGATGAGAACAAGATCAACTTGTACCAGAGTGATGGGAAGAGGAGAGTATGGAGAAGGAAAGGAACTGCTCATGATCCTAAGCATACCACCTCATCAGTGAAGCATGGTAGTGTCATGGCATGGGCATGTATGGCTGCCAATGGAACTGGTTCTCTTGTATTTATTGATGATGTGACTGCTGACAAAAGCAGCAGAATGAATTCTGAAGTGTTTCGGCAATATTATCTGCTCATATTCAGCCTAATGCTTCAGAACTCATTGGACGCTGCTTCACAGTGCAGACGGACAATGACCCAAAGCATACTGCAAAAGCAACCAAAGAGTTTTTTTTAAGGGAAAGAAGTGGAATGTTATGCAATGGCCAAGTCAATCACCTGACCTGAATCCGATTGAGCATGCATGAAGGGAAAATGCCCCAAGAACAAGCAGGAACTGAAGACAGTTGCAGTAGAGGTCTGGCAGAGCATCACCAGGGATGAAACCCAGCGTCTGGTGATGTCTATGCGTTCCAGACTTCAGGCTGTAATATACTGCAAAGGATTTGCAACCAAGTATTAAAAAGTGAAAGTTTGATTTATGATTATTATTCTGTCCCATTACTTTTGGTCCCTTAACAAGTGGGAGGCACATATGCAAACTGTTGTAATTCCTACACCATTCACCTGATTTGGATGTAAATACCCTCAAATTAAAGCTGACAGTCTGCAGTTAAAGCACATCTTGTTCGTTTCATTTCAAATCCATTGTGGTGTATAGAGCCAAAAATGTTAGAATTGTGTCGATGTCCCAATATTTATGGACCTGACTGTATATGGGTTTCTCTTTTAGATGGAGTCACTTTGAATTATCACTTTTGGTGGTATATCATTCAGTGGCATTGATTCATTGTTTTGTCATGGATGGTATAAGGAATGAGTAAATATTATTTTGTATAAAAATGTATAAGTTTAACTCATAGAGAGGAATGAAGCACTAACTGTTTGTTTGCTTTAAAGTAGAACCACTCCAGGCACTGCAAAAAGTCATAAATGTAAGACAAAAGGTGACTATTTTGTCTGGAATTGATTTCAATCTTAAGGTGGCCATACACTTAGCTTTTTTTTTTTTTTCCTTCACCTCACTAGCTGGAGAAAAAAAAAAAAGTCTAAGTTTCCTCCATCCAAACAAATGAGGAAGAATACCCCCATGTACGCTTTCACAATATCAACTTCAAAGTGATAAGACATGCCTAGTGTTTAGCTTTAAATCTAGTAGTAATCTGATGACATTAGCAGGCAGCTTATGCTCTTGAAATCAGGTCAGGACACAAGGGTGCAGGATAACACAAAGTGATGAGTCTCTTAGCAGAACAGTTACTCACCATGGTCTTGAGCATCAGTTATGGCTTTCACAAGCATCTTGTGCTGCTGCATACAGACACCTAATCCACATAAAAAAGGTGTAAAATGTGAACAATGGGGTACACTATGCAAGCAACGTATTCTGAATGTAAGCCATATTATAATGGAGTACACACCTGTTTTTGTGTGATCATGCACCTCTCCAGTATCCGGACAAATAAACTGCTCAAGTAACCTGATGTTCTGCAAACAGATCAACAACCGTAATCCACAAAATTGTTAAAACATCATTCAGTTGTAATAAGGATATTGCATTTTGAATTGGTATACAACCTAAATCTGTGTTTACATTACCTTGCACAGCAGCTATCAGACTAAGTAAGGGAGGGTTAGCTATTGTTGGGCTTTAAGGGCTCTGTTACTATGTACGCTGCAAACACACTTGCCCTCCAGCGGATATACCCCCCTTCCTGATCAGGCCATTTTTTGCTATACGGCGCTGCATTACTTTAACTGACAATTGCACGGTCATTCAACGCTGCAACTAAATTCCATATATGTCCTTTTGATCGCCTGTGCATTTTTTATTTTTTGCGCTATAAATAAAAAAGACTGACAATTTTGAGAAAAAACCCCCCAATATTTTTGACTTTTTGCTATTAAACATATCCAGTAAAAAAAGCTTAATCAAATTTCGTCTTAAAGTTAGGCCAAAATGTATTCTGCTACATATCTTTACTAAAAAAACAAAATCCCAATATGTGTAAATTAATTGGTTTACGTGAAAGTTATAGCACTTACAAATGGCGGTATATATACTGGATTTTTTTTTTTTTTTTATAACTAGTAATGGCGGCGATCAGTGACTTATAGCGGGACTGGGGGGAACTGACTTGGTGTCGCTGACATCCCCAGTGACACCAATACAGTGATCAGTGCTAATAAAAAGCACTGACACTACTAATGGCACTGGGCAGAGAGGGGTTAACATCTGGGGCGATTAAAGGGTTAACTCAGTGCTGTTTCACTATAGGGGCTGTGTGCGCGCTTCACTGTAAGCACACTGCTTTGTATGGCTCTGCTATGTGGAGCCATACAAAGCAGTGTGCAGGAGCTGAAAGGGGAGAAATCTGCATTGTTTACATAGAGGTCTCTCCCCCGTCAGAGACCCTACCTGGAACTACAAAATCACGTATATATACACGTGATTTTGTGCGCCTGTGCCGCCCTGTAGCAGTATTTGTGCTATAGGGCGGCGTGGAATTGGTTAACATATGTTGGGGGAAAACAAACATTAAGTATATTTCTGAAATACATACTGAATTTCCCAATATTTATCGCTTTAAAAAGCTGTAAGTACAGAAAAATACCTCATAACACGATAGTAAAGTCCACTTTAGGACTTGTACCTATAGGTAGGCCTATAGTAAGGCTTACCTGTAGGTACAGTGAATATCTCCTAAACTTGCACCATTTAGGAGATATAAAAACTTGTAGAGGCCGGTGACGTCACCAACGCATGCGCACTGAATGCACAGCATACTGGAGTTTGCCTTCCATTCAGATCGCTGGAGGCCTTCGTTTTAAAGTAAGTCTGTCATATTGTGCTAGTATGGGGTGCATACTAGTATCTTATAACTTACATAATTGGTTTTTTTTTTGGACTTTAGTGCCCCTTTAATCTGTCAAAAATCCAGTGTGCTTTCAACTCAGTTTGGACTTACATCAGTATCTCACCTGCACTGAAATACCAAGCAGCTTGTTAGCTCAGTCTGCTGGAGTACTGAACTATTCCTACCCACCACCCCTCCATATCCCACTTCACATGCACACATTGATTTCTCTGACTCTCAAGAGCCTGCCCACTTGCTGTATGTAGGGAAAGGGTTCTTGTGGTGCTTGGCAGATGTAGTTCTGGAGTGTGAGCTCTCAGCAGCTGTTCGTGCAAGAATTTTTAAATTTTGGTGAAGGTTTTGTAATAAAGTTGTTTAAAATATACAGGTGAAACTTGAAAAATTTGAATATCGTGCAAAAGTTCATTTATTTCAGTAATGCAACTTAAAAGGTGAAACTAATACATGAGATAGACTCATTACATGCAAAGCAAGATAGTTCAAGCCGTGATTTGTCATAATTGTGATGATTATGGCTTACAGCTCATGAAAACCCCAAATCCACAATCTCAGAAAATTAGAATATCACATGCAATCAATAAAACAAGGATTGTACATAGAACAATATCGGACCTCTGAAAAGTATAAGCATGCATATGTACTCAGTACTTGGTTTGGGCCCCTTTTGCAGCAATTACTGCCTCAATGCGGCGTGGCATGGAAGCTATCAGCCTGTGGCACTGCTGAGGTGTTATGGAAGACCAGGATGCTTCAATAGCGGCCTTCAGCTCTTCTGCATTGTTCATTATATTCTACAGGGTATCCCCTTTCAGAAAATACCCATTTATGAAATTTATACATATGCAGATAGACACATGCAGCTTGAAGTTATTGGAAGAGGTAACAGATTCAGGCCAACTTGTGCTGGTTTAGCAGTTTTATGTCTTTGGATATATGTTCATATGATGTACATTTTTGATTGGAAAGTTACTCTATATTTTATATACAATGCCAACTGAAAGGCAATGGCAGGAATACTGATGATTGTTCCTGCAGATGATACTGCGGCACTGCTTGTATGCTTATGGACAAGGACGTATATGTCTTTTTTACTGATTGCTGCTTTGTCACTGTATGACCAATGTTATTTGATTTGTTTGCCATACACAAATTGTGCGTCTGTTTAAAAACAAAATGCAAAAAAAACTAATAAAAAAAAAGATCTGATTTAAAAAAAATATATAAAAAAAAAGTTAGGAAAATACCAATTTCTTTGCCAGAAATGCAGTTGAGCATTTAAATTCCTATTGTGGGCTAACGACACAGCCCTACACAATTTTGCAAAACTACGTAACCACTCTCACAGTCTTCATCTCCAAAACATGAACCCTTGCGTTTATGGAGCCATTTTTTTCTCCACAAGTTTAACCACTTCAATACTGGGCATGTCCACCCCATTCCTGCCCGGGCCAATTTTTAGCTTTCAGTGCTTTCACACTGACAATTGTGTGGTCATGCAACACTGTACCCAAACTAAATTTGTTTTCATATTTTTTCAGACAGATAGAGCTTTTTTTTGGTGGTATTTAATCACCACTTGAGTTTTTTATTTTTTGCTAAACAAAAAAAAATTTTGAAAAAGGAAAAACATTTCTTAGTTTCCGTTATAACATTTTGCTAATTTTTCTTCTTCACTGATGATGATGAGGCAGCACTGATAGGAACTGATGAGGCGGCAGTGATAAGTTGCACTGATATGCTGCACTGATGGGGTTGCATTGATAATCAGGGCATACGCGGCAAGAATGGGAGGATGTCATGACGTTCCTCCCAAAATGAGAGAGGTCCCCTATGGCCATCATTCTACAACTGGCTGGGTGGAAACCAGTTAAATAAACATTTCAGGCCTGAACACTACATAAAAACCTCCAAAAATTTAGTATTTTTGTGTACTTGCAAAAAAAACAAAGGGAAATATGCATGTCTTGCACAGAAGTACTGCAAATGGTTTTTTTTTTTTGCTTTGATATACACTTTAAGGGCTTTAAGAAAGATGTTCGAAGCATGCAAAAAGCATTGTGTACATTGCTCTTCTGCTTAGCATGGTCAGGTTAAAGCCTGTAAAAACTAGAGTGTATCTCCTGACAATGTACGCGGTGACATCATTTCTGGAGTGGGCGCCATCTTAGTACACCAGGATACCCATGCAGTACACCCATTACATGAGGTGAAAGGCTGATTATTCCAGGATGAATATGTGAGTGGGTATTTTTTGGCGTTATTAATTTGTTTAATAAAACTGGATTATACTATGGAGGATCTTTTTTGTCTCATTACTATGATCCTCTGATGAAGTGTGAGTGGTATTGCGATTATTTATATCTGGAGGGAACCCAGGAGAAGTAAGTGCTACTACTGATGAGATCCAGTGCGGTTTTCTTCCCTGTGACGTATTAGTTCCGGTAAGGATCATGGTTAATCCAAAAAGTGAGCTGGCCGTTGTGGTCACCTTGAGGAGGTGAGGGGGCACTTGGGCTATTTAAGTATACTTACACCATTGCTGTGAGCACAAGTTTTACTTCATCACATGCATGATCTTCGTTTATGGATCACATGTATATGTTCACATGTGATTTTTTTTAATTGGACTTGCTTTATGCGGACTGCAATTTTTTATGTTATGCATAATTGTCACTTTCATTTAATTGTGGTTAAGTGTGTTTATTTGTGACACTTATCACTTTGAGTTTATTTTGTCCCCTTGTCAGGGGACACACTTTATTATCCTCGTTTTAGGGGACTCACCTTTATATTCATCATATTATACCATTTATTGATCCCCCAGTTGGGGAGAGGACGTTGTGTATATATGCGTGTGTTCACTTCAAGGATTTTTCGTGTTACTCGATTCACTATCCATTTTACACTATTGGACCCAGAGAGGAACTTATCACTTGTTGTTTATTGTATTTATATTTTTGTGATATGCACATATATTTAATTTGTTTATGATATAGTTTTTAGCACTACACCATTTATGTTCATTTGTTGTTTCACCTATTGGGTTTAGGATTGGGTGTGAGCAGCTTAGGTATAGAGATCATCCATTGAAGCGGAGGAGGATTCATTTTTATTTTTTCCTGTAAAAATTAGGTTTCACTTTTTGGATGTAGAATATGCATTGGTAGTCATACTCACTCGATAATGCACATGAAGGTTGTGATCTCTACAGATTGGACATGGGTTTCCACAGACCTTGCCCGCTCTCTGTCAAACCAGAATGAAGAAGCAATTGTATATGACCACAATTTTATTAATACATTTCAGGACTGAAAAAGAATAGAAATACAAATCATTTGGCAGGTAAAATAGTTTTTATATATGGATTTCATCTTTGGATTTAGTTTTTTGCCTGGAGTTTAGCAGTAATCACTTCAATAGCAGACACTTTCACGCCCTTCCTGGCCAGGCAATTTGCAGCACTGTCATATCACACTTTGAATGCCAATTACGGTCATGCAACACTGTACCCAAATGAAATTTTTATCATTTTTGAGACAGATAAAGCTTTCTTTTGATGGTATTTAATCACCACTGGGTTTTTTTTTGCCATATAAATGAAAAATTACCCCAAAATTTTGAAAAAAAAAAATAAAAATTTGCTTTGTTTCGGTTATAAAATTCTGCAAATAAATAATCTTTCCTCGTACGTTTAGGCAAAAATGTATTCCGATACATTTCTTTGGTAAAAATAACCCAAATAAGTGTATATTATTTAATCTGTGTGAAAGTAACAGTCTACAAACTATGGTATATATACACAGTATATTTGAAAATGGATCAATCCTGATGTACCGACAACCTATCTCATTTCTTGAGGCCCTATAATGCCAGGACAGTACAAATACCCCCAAATGACCCATTTTTGCAAAGTAGATAGTCCAAGGTATTTAGCAAGGTATTTAGTAAGAGGCAAGTTTTTTGAATTTGCAATTTTTGGCACTTTTTGGAAAATTAATTATATAAAACTTTTTTTCACAATTCTTTTTTACATACTGTCACCACTGCAGTACAGTGTCATCATATGGCTGGTGTGGCAGTTAACGAGGATACTGACTGGTGACACCATGTTAAAAAAAGGCATGACAATTTTGTTTAAATCTTATCGTGTTCGCTATGGTTGGTCATAGCGATCACATGATACCCCGGTCGCTCATAGCGGCTGGGTACCAAGCACTGTGATCCACCAGTCACAGGATCTAACAGATGCGTGTGTGAGGTACGCGACTGGAAGGACATACCTGGACAGACTCCTAAAACTGGAGAACCACCCCGACACTGTATAATGACTATACAGCGGGCAGGAAATGGTTAAAGTTTATGTAAACCAATTTTTTTTTTAATCTATATAAAGACATACAAACAAACAAAAACTCTGTGCTCTATTCTGACTGTTATCTGTGAGGACTGTTTCCAGTCCTTCTGTGGACTACATAATACCACCATATGTTGAGTAGATAGAAGAGAGGAAACCATGCAGCTTCTTTATAAAGTACTTTGTCACCCTACTACAAAACATGTGTTACTTTCCACCAGATGAATAAAAAGAAAAAAAAAAACTATGGCAGCAGCTATGACATCTAAGGGCTCATAGGCAAAAATACATTACATTATTCTTAACTTAAACTCACATCTTCAGCAAAAGTGAAAATGCAGGCAAACTGTGCCGAGATGAGATTTGTCTCTAACTGAAACATAGTTATAAATTGGATTGGTTGCCATTCTAGTACAGCTTGCTTGCTGGACGCCTTCAGGAGCCACAGTACTCCAGCTGGGCTTCTAATGTGTCCCTGCAACTTTGAGGAATGGGCTCCCTCCAGGCATACCTGCCCTTAATGTAGCCACTACTATATATGCTCCAACTTGCAGACTCTCAAATATAGCATTAGGACCACTTTACAGAAGAGGCTTGGCAAGGCTGTGCAGCTTCCACATATGTTGTGCAACTATACTCTGTTTTTAAGGTAAATTGTTAGCCTCATTTTTTTTTCCTGTAGGCTAGCTGGTATGTGTGCAGGGAAATCTTTAATTTGTTTGTATAAAGGAACTTACTTACAATGCACTTCTTTCGTGTTTTCTGTGGTGGGATTGATCCTTTGAAGTTCCTCCTGTAACTAGCCCATACTAGATTTTCCCCATAACGCTCAAGGTATTCTAGAAAAGGAGAAATATAAAGTAGCTGAGTCTCTGATATGATAAAACATATACACATTCAAATACAATAAAAATAATTAACAATTAAGTTGATCATTTTGCTGCCCTGTTTTATCATATTGGTGGTGTTGGACTAATCTCAGCTTATGCCATGTTTTAAAGTAGAAAGGTGAGGATATTCCTTTCACTCTTTGTCCCGTTGACCACAATAGACAGAGGTACAAAATTTTATCTGCTTACATTTTTAATCATCTAATTAGCCTCAGTATTATGATTAAAAAAAGTAGCATCCTTTTATCCTTATCTCTTCAGTCTGTGAGAATCTTGAAAGTGTCTCACCAAATATGAATATTTCACAGGCTGCCTGCAATCTATTTATTTCAGAATACCAAAAGGTTGGAATCTGCAACAAAGTTTGTGAACCGCTTCCCTACCGCCCAATAGCAGAACTACTGCTACAGGCTGGCAGGGCTGCGCAAAATCATATACAGTTAGGTCCATATATATTTGGACACAGGCACAATTTTAGATCTTTCAGGTATTTACCAAAACATATTCAAGATATAGTTAGATAATGGATATGGGCTGAAAGTGCACACTCTCAGGTTTAACTTGAGGGTATGTGCATCCAAACTGAAGGAAGGGTTTAGGAATTACAGCTCTTAAGAGTAGCCATCCCCCCTTTTTCAAGGGGCCAAAAGTAATTGGACAAATGAATATAATCATAAATAAAATGTTCATTTTTAATATTTTGTTGAGAATCCTTTACTGGCAATGACTGCCTGAAGTCTGGCACCCATGGACATTACCAAAGACTGGGTTTCCTCCTTTCTGATGCTTTGCCAGGCTCAAACTGCAGCTGTCTTCAGTTGTTCTTTGTTTTGTGGGTCTTTCTGCCTTTAGTTTTGCCTTCGGCAAGTGAAATGCATGCTCAATTGGGTTGAGGTCAGGTGACTGACTCGGCCATTGCAGAATATTCCACTTTTTCTTCAAAAGCTCCTGGGTTGTTTTTGCAGTGTGTTTTGGATCATTGTCCATCTGTACTGTGAAGCGCTGTCCAATCAACTTTGCTGCATTTGGATGAATCTGGGCTGACAGTATATCTCTAAACACTGCAGAATTTATCTGGCTTTTCTATTCTTCAGGCTTATGAATGGTTTGCACCTTGTGTTGAACCCTCTGTATTTGCTCTCGTGAAGTCTTCTCGATTGTAGACTTTGACAATGATACGCCCACCTCCTGGAGACTGTCCTTCACTTGTCTGGATGTTGTGAATGGGTTTTTCTTTACCATAGAGAGGATCCTGCTATCATCAACCACTGAATGAGGAAAGAAAAAACAGAGGGCGCACAGGCCTAGTGCATTACCATAAACAATGTTTAATAAAAAATAAAGTATGTGTTGTACTCACAAACGACAATATAGTCAAGGCGCATCATAAAAGAACAGCTGGGTCAACACTGCACTGAGTAACAGTCCGCAATAGGGAGTATAGACATCCAAAAGGCTGACGCGTTTCAAGGACTTGCCTCTTCCTCAGAGCCACTATATTTATCATCAACCACTGTTGTCTTCTGTGGATACCATGCCTTTTTATGTTGCTGGGCTCCACTAATGCATTCTTTCCTCAGAATGTACCAAACTGTTGATTTGGCCACTCTTAATGTTGCTGTGATCTCTCCAATGGATTTGTTTTGTTTTTGAAACCTTACAAATGACCTTTTTCACTTGCATGGAGAGCTCCTTTTGAACGCATGATGTAGGTTCACAGCAATAGATTCCAAATACCACACTTAGAATCAACTCCAAACCTTTTACCTGTTCAATTGATGAAGGAATAACAAAAGGAGTAGCCCACACCTGGCCATGATTCAATTGTCCAATTACTTTTGTTCCCTTGAGAAAGCGGGGGTGGCTATTCTTAAGAGCTGTAATTCCTAAACCCTTCCTCCAATTTGGATGTACATACCCTTAAAGTAAATCTGAGAGTAAGCACTTTCAGCCCATATCCATTATATAACTATAGCTTGAATATGTTTTAGTAAATACCTGAAAAAACAAAAATTGTGCCTGTGTCCAAATATATATGGACCTAACTGCATATATATGTGATTTTGCATTTCCAGGTAGGGGGCGTACGCGCCGCCCTACCCAAGCTGCCACGGCTGTTGATCACTGGGTACCGGCCGGAGATTCCCCACCAGCACCCGGCGACCACCAGGAACTTTGGCAGGGGAGAGGTCTGTATGTAAACAACACAGATCTCTCCCCTGTCAGCACCAGCATGCTGCATTGTATTGCTCTGCATAGGACAGCAATACGAAACAGCATGCTTGCACAGTAAAACACACACATCACAGTTAGTAAAACAGCACACAGTTAACACTTTGATTGCCTCAGATGTTAACCCCTTCCTGCCCAGTGTCATTAGTACAGTGTCAGTGCATTGTATTAGTGTCACTGAGGATGGCAGTGTCAGTTTGTTAGTCACCCTCCTTGTCACAATGCCCGCCGTAGTCCTGCTGTAAGTCACTGATTGCCACCATTACTAGTATATGTAAAAGTTGATTTTTTGCTGGATATGTTTTATAGTCAAAAGTATTTTTTGTTCAAAATTGTCATTTTTCTGTGTATAGCGCAAAAAAAAAAAAAAAACGCACAGGCAATCAAATACCACCAAAAGGAAGATCCATTTGTGGAAAAAAAAGGACTTAAATTTCCTTTGGGTGCAGTGTTGCATGAGCACACAATTGTCAGTTAAAGTAACGCAGTGCCATATCACAAAAAATGGCCTGGTCAAGAAGGGGGGGGGGTTAATCCTCTGGAAGGTAAGTGGTTAAAATCCCTGCAATATATATATATACATCATCCAGAGGGGAATGTTTTTTTCTCAACAAAAATGAAGTAACTTTTCTCCAATTTACTGATCATGGTAATGTACCATGAGCTACAAATAAAATCATTTAAGTGAGGGGGCCTCTGAAACCTAAAATAATTTCAAGGGTCTCTCTACTTTAAGCAAAAATGTGAAATGTTACTTTAAGCTTAAAGGCTAAGCTAATCTTTTGTAAAAAAAATATAAAATAAATAAATGCACATGATTTTGCACGTTAAAAAAAAAAAAAAAAAATGATGTGAATGTTTTTTTTTTTTTTTTTTTTACACTGCAGCCTGCAAAACATTGCACCTGCAATCAGTGGATCACAGGTGCAGTGTCAGGCTCTTGCAGGCAGTTACTGAAGTGCAGGAAGAGTCAGTAAACTACAAGGGCGCTCATCAGTGCCGTCACAGTTCATTTCATTGAGAACTGCAAGCTGTCTGACATGGTGGCAGACGGGACTTGTAGTTCATTCATTCACAGATCTATGTGAATGAATGAAGTGACTGTGTGGGTGGATCTCCACACAACAGCACTGTTTTTAAATTGTGACAGCAGGTGTGGGGAGAGGATACCCTGCCTGCAGTCAAAGGAAAAAAAATGGGGGTGGGGGGGGGGGGGGGGGGGGGGGGGTGGGGGGGGGGGGGGGGGGGGGGGGGGGGGGGGGGGACTGCTCCAAAGTCACATGTTACACCCTGAATACCGGTGTAACAGGTTACATAGGGTGAACTTATTTAAAAAATAAACACGCAACAAGTGTAGCTTAAAGTACAATACCTTCACTGTTCATATATTCCCAGGGCTTATCTTTATACCGAGATGGCACATTGAATGTTTCAGGCGGGTTGCAGAGCGCACGAACCCCAACAGGCAGCACAGACACTAGGGGCTATAGAAGAAACAAAATGTATATACAATTTAGTACCACTGGAAGAAAATGTATTTCCTCTCCTTCCCTATCACATAGTCCAGGCCCATGTTTCAGCTATTTTGCTCAGTTTCCTCATGTTAATTTAGAAATCTGCACATCACACTGCTAAATGACACGTCTCTTATATATCTGTTACATTACTACTAACTGGCATTCAACCAATCATCTGTGCAATTGTTATTTAAGCACATCAAAGTTAAAGCTGAACTCCAGGCAGATATTAAAAAAAAACATACTTTGATCCAACTACAGTATGTGCTCATTTAAAAATCATGAAATGCATTTTTTTCGTAGAACATAAGTAGCTAAAGCTGTCTTGATATGAGCGTCCTGTAATCCCCTTTACAGCATCACAAAGCCTGAGAGAGTTAAGGACAGCATTTCAAGCTAACCAGGCTCTCTATATTTGCGCACTGCTTTCATCCCAGCCCTGTAAACATGCTACAGTAGCTGTTCTCAACCAGGTCCCCCCAGAGGTTACTAGGGGTTCCCTGAGCAATTTTTGACCATCAGAAAATTATACAACACCAATTATTATTTTAGTTATCTGTAAGGAAGGCATTTTTCTCTCTGACCACCAAAGTAAAGGACATTTTTCCCACTGACAACCAGAGAAATACTGCCTTTCTACCAGTGACCTCCAGTGTAAGGAGGATTTCTTCCAATGACCATCAAGGTAGAGGGGTCCTTCTCCTAATGACCACCAGAGTATTGGGGCCCTAACTCCCAGAGACCAATGAAGTATGACATTCTTTCTCCCAGCGCCTACCATGTAAAAGGGTCCTTCTCTACAAACCACCAATGTAAAGGGGCCCCTTCCACTAAGTGTCTGTGTAAAAGAGAACCAATGTAAAGAAACAATACCCTGACGACCACAAGGACTACAAATATAAAAGGAAGACTACACTAACATCAGTGCCAAAGAACGATACTATACTCACCGTCCGCATATTTTTTTCTGGGCAGAATTTTTATTACTTTTATTTCATTGTTATTACTGAAAATAACTGATATAAATCAGCCCCAGGTGTCAAATACACATCTGTGATTCTCTTTTATATTTCAATTTATTGTTCAAGCTAATATGCCATGAGCTGTAGACATGTAGAGAAATGTCACTTGGTTAGCACTTCTGCCTGGCAGTACTAGGGTCGTTCGAATCCCAACCACGGCACCAACTGCCTGGAGTTTGCATGTTCTCCCTGTGCCTGCGTGGGTTTCCTCTGGGTACTCTGGTTTCCTCCCATACTCCAAAGACAAGGCCCTAGTATGTATATGTATGAATATAAGTTAGGGACTTTAGATTGTATACTCCTCGAGGGTTAGGGACTGATATGAATGTAGAATGTTTACGTGAAGTGCTGCGTAAATTGACGGCACTATAGAAGTACCTGAAATAAGTATGTCATGCTCCAAGCCTGTATAAAAATCCCTCCCATGTTCCACAAACTCAGCAGGAACACCATGAGATGTAGATACAATAATTATTAGCAAGGATTCCCAGAGACCTGAAACTGATTTCAGTACACACAAATGGCCACTGCCCCAATCTATAACTGGCCTTTGCAGCAAGGAGCACATGGATAGGCGACACATGTCAAACAACAAAAAAGAAAAATTCCCAGCTCAACTCACCGACCAGCCTGCAACCAACCGAACTGTCCTAACAGTTTGTGTTAAAAACGGGGGTTCAACCCGGTACCATTTTTTTAAAGCCGGCAGTCGGCTCTCTCCCAAGAACAATCGGAGCTGGTAAGTAGCTGCTTAATTACTATTACAAGCAATGGGATTGGGCATCCCCCCTGCCATGGCTTGCTGGGGGATCTGAGCGACCAGTCGGAGAGCTGAACAAAGTCGGAATCTTATAGAGCCCAGATTCCTACATAAAGAGTTCCTGCATATGCCTATTGTTGTCATAAGGATGTTTACATTTCTCATGACAATAAAAGTAATATTACCGCTTCCTGACTGCCCTATAGCAGAAATACTGCTACAGGGTGGCATGGGTGCGGAAAATCATGTATATATACATGATTTTGCATTCCCGGGTAGGGGATACGCACGAGCGCCCTACCCACGCTGCCATTTGCGGCCATGGCTGTCAATCACCGGGTCCTGGTCGGTAATTACTCGCCGGCGCCCAGCGATTTCCAAAGATCTCTGACAGGGAGGAAGACTGTTTTGTTTACTAACAGTTCTCCTCTCTGTCATCTCGGGCACACTGCTCTGGATGGCTGTGAACAGCACAGCCATCCAGCCATCCAGAGCAGCCATCCAGAGCAGTGTGATTACAACGAAGCACACATATACCGCCCCCCTAGTAAAACACTCCCTGCACACATATAAAAACACATATAAAAATACAGAGGCCAGCTGTCACAGGAATTGTAGAGAGTGGGAACAACCGCGTGTTCCCACAAGCAAAATGGCCGCGGTCGCACTTCCGGTAAACGACACGTTTTGTCACTTCCGGACTTTTATCACCAGGGTGAGTGGAACTCTGCTTTAAATCAAATATCTTTTCAATTCAAAAAAGTGTATTTAAAAAAAAAAAGTGTTTGAAAAACTGCTGTGCAAATACCGTGTGACATAAAAATGACAAAACCCACCAATGTATCCTCTATGGCCTCCGCTTTAAAAAAAATATATTTAATGTTTGGGGGTTCAAAGACATTTTCTAGCAAAAAGTACTAATAGTAACATGTAAACAAAAAGTGCCAAAAATGGCCTGCTCTGCAAGGTTGTTAATCGGTTGTAGTCACATGTCGGCTCTTAGTAACTCCCCATCCATTGTTCACCCCATTACCCGGCTCCACAGGACTCCTCTCACTCCGGTCACACACAACCTGTACGAGAAGGCCGCCATCTTGGTGACGGAAGTCACATGGTCCGATCAGCCAACCAACACAAGTCTTTTTTTTTTTTAATCTTCATCCAGCTTTATTGACAATTTACACTTTCAGCTACTGAAAGTGATGGAACATACTAAAACTTTACTTATTTATAGTAACTTTAAGATTACATTACTACTCCGCAAAAGCAACAAACCATTATACCCTTCACCAATCTGTAAAGCGCGACGGGATAATGTGTGACAAGAACGAAATAAAGCACTGCAAACATGAAACTGACGCAAGTGTTCGCCCGTATTAACGTATCGCGACATACACAGAAAAAAAAACAACTCTCAGAAAGTGTCAATGAACACTGTATATAACCCGTCTTTCGTTGCTTGACTTTAAAACAAATGAAGGCGCCATTTTTCCGGAGACTTCGTTGTCATATGACACAAAACTTCCTCACGCAAAATGGCTTCCGCCGGGGACACAACTGGAGAGGCCAATCACGCTCTATGTGGGGCTGCTTGTAGTAGAAGGGCGGGTGTTCGGCCTCCAGTGATTGTTAATCTGTTCCGCCCGCCTTCACTTTCCACTCCCCTTGCCTTACGTCACTCAGCCGTAGAGATCATGTGTGACCCTAGTTTCACACCTAACGGGCTAGTTCACACTGGATGCGACTTAGCATGTGATTTGCATGCCCTATGACCTGCAATCACATGCCAAGTCACACCCTATTGTCCGCAATTAGAGCGGTCATAATGGTGCGGATCCGACTTGGTCAGAGCCGCACTGATTTCAAAAGTAGTGCATGTACTACTTTAGTTCCGATTTGCATAGACATCTGTGTCAGATGACTTGTAAATCGCAAGGAAATCGGCATCTCACCTGATTTTGAAATCATGCGACTTCACTGCAAGTCGCACAATTTCAAAATCGGATTTGATGTGAACGGAGCCTAAGTGGTTTCCGCAGCGTTTTGCAGAAACGCAGCACAGTCCATTTGACATGATTTCTTAGGGGGCAGGTTCACATCTCTGCATTCTCACCAGGTGCATTTTTTTTTGGAAAGGGTCAGGGACTTTTTTAAACACAAAAAGTAGCATTTTTTTCTATAGACTTCAGTGGAAACATTGCAGAAAAGCACGTGGTGTGTTTTTGCTGCGCTTTTGCTTTTTGTGATATGTTTTGCATTTTAAATCTGCCTAGCAACAAAAAAAAAACACAAAAGCATCAAAAATACGTAAAAAACGCATGTGCAAAAATGCACCACAAAATGCACTGCAGAAACGGATCAAATGCAAACAGCATAGGTGTGAACCTAGGCTGAGGGTGGAACTGATGATCCCTTACCGCTTTTGCGTTTTCTTTACCTCTTTTTTTTAAGCAGAATTTTTTTTTTGCTGGCCAGAATAAAAATGCAAAATGCGGCAAAAACGCACTATCATGCTTCACCGTTGAACTCTATAGTAGCAAAAACACTGCTTTTTGCTTTTAAAAAAGTCCCTAACCCTTCCCAAAAACGCAGCAGCTCAAAAAAGCATAGATGTGAACATGTTCCATAGAAACCATGTTAGATAGACTAGTGCGTTTCTGCAAAAAGCATTAAAAAACACATTGGTGTGACGGAGCCTTAAATAGGGACATGTGCGTTCCAGTGTGTTTTTGATGTGTTTTACTGCATTCCAGTGTGTTTTTGATGCGTTTTACTGTGTTCCAGTACAATTCTGTGCAGGCAAAATGCAGCCTGTTCTACTTTTTTCTGTATCCGGAACACACTGGAACTGCAAACACTGATGTGAACTATGACATTGACAACCATACAACCTATTTCCTGTGTGTTTTGGATGCAGAAAAAAAAGCAACTGAAATGCATAGTGTAAACTGGCCCTTGGTAATTGCTCAGTCATGCAACACCTGATCCAAATTAAATTTGTAATTTATTCACACAAATAGAGCTTTCGTCTGATGGTATTTGATCACCACTAGCGTCTATAAACTATGGAATATAGGAATTAACACAGCTTTTACTTTCAGACTGCCTATCACATTTCTTGAGGTGCTAAAATGCCAGGACAGTACGAACACCCCCAAATGACCCCTTTGTAGACAAGATATTTGCTGAGAGGCATGTTGAGCCCATGGAAGATTTTAATTTTTGTCACAAGTTTTTAAAAATATGAAAAAAGTCCTTTTGTTTTACACAAAGATGTCACTTTAATAAGATGTTTCTCACACATGCCATGGAATTAAACTCCAAAACACATTCTTCTCTCAAGTACAGAGATATCACATGTGTAACTTTTTTGGAGGCTAGCCACGTATGGGGGCCGAAAAACAATGGCCACCTTCAGGCTTTCAAAGGGCGTAATTTCCTCATTTCACTTCCTGACTAATTATCATAGATTCAGAGGCTCTGAAATGCCAGGATAGCATAACCAATCCCCCACCACCCCAAATTACCTTTTCGGAAAGCAGACACCCCAAGCTATTTGCTGAGGGGCATTTGAATCCATGGAAGATTTTATTGTTTAGCACAAATTTTTGGAACATTTTAAAAGATATATAATTTTTTTACACAATGTTGTCACTTTAATAAGACATTTCTTAAACATGCCATTGGTATGTGTGGAATTACACCCAAAAACACATTCTGATATTTCTCCCAAGTATGGGGATACCACATGTGAGAGACTTTATGGCAGCCTAGCCACTTACAGAGGCCGAAAACCTTGATTGCCTTCAGGCTTTCAATTGGTGTAATTCTCTTCACTTCCTGACTGCCTATCACAGTTTCAGAAGTTCTTAAATTCCAGGATAGCACCCTCCCCCCCAAATGACCCATTTTCAGAAAGTAGACACCCCAAGGTATTTGCTAAGAGGCATGGTGAGTATTTTGCAGATCTCATTTTCTTTTTCTGCCTAGTGTTCAGCAGTAAGAACTGGGTTTCTTGCTGAGACTTGTTTTTCCATAGCTTTTTTCCTTGGATTTTTCCTGCGGAGATCTTCAAACAACATCTGGGCTGGGTGACTGGCTGGATAATCTAGATCTAGTGGTCACCCCAGTCTGGCCAGCGCACTCATGCAGATCTTCAGCTCGGCGCTGGGTCAGCCACGACAAGCCCTATACTGGACTGGGAGGGCCAGACAGTTAAACGTCTCATGAGGACACATATGACTGGCACCTATTGTCAGGAATCCTCTAGCACTCCACAGACCGGAATCCCCCAAGGCGCAGAATCTAAGCTCCGACCTGCTTGTTCACCAGAGCCCCTGATGGTGGGGATGGACTTGGAGCAGGCCGAGACCAGGTCGCGGCCCCTGGGTTCACCCAGCTGTGGTAGAGGCATCGTAGAAGGTGTATAGCGGTTAAGAGTCTGATGTGACCATGAAATGGGAATTTAATTCTATATTAATGCCTCTCACAAATACTGATTACTTTCCTCCGGGAAAAAATAAGATATCGGGGAGATGGTTTAGAAAGGAGGATACCCAACTGAGAGATGTTTTGGTGGGGGGGGAATTGAGACCACTTAAAGATGTAATGGAGAATAAGGGAGATATTTTTATTAGAATAGATGAGTGGAAATATCATCAAATGAAATGTTTTATTGGAAATCTTCCGAAACCCTTGAGAGTAAAACAGGAGTGGAATATGTTTGAAAGGTTGTTAGAGACACGAAGGGATGGGAAGCACGGTGTTTCAAAAGTGTATAGAATACTCACAGAATTAGACACAAACACAAAGTTAATCTTTATCACAAAATGGGAAAGAGATATGGGAGTTGGGTTTGACGAAGATAGACAGAAAAAGATGTTTAGATTGATACACGATAATGTGAGTATGAGAGAGGTTGAGGTTAATTATAAGTGTGTGACACGATGGCACATTACACCGAGTGTAGAGCACAAGATGAATGGGGAGGACTCAGATAAGTGTTGGAGAGGGTGTGGAGAGAAGGGCACGGTGTTTCACATATGGTGGGAATGTCCGAAAATCCAGGCTTTTTGGAAGATAATAGTCAAATTGATTAAAGAAATAACTGAAATTGACATAGGGTTAGACCCAACGACGTGCCTCCTACACAATGTAGAGACATCAGTAAATAAATATAAAGACTCAGGTATTTGGTATTTTTTGAATGCGGCGAAAGGGTTGATACCCAAGTTTTGGCGGAGGGCTGAGGTACCAAAGGAGGAAGACTGGATTAATAGAGTAAACCAGATAGGTAGAATGGAAAGATCATATCATATGCAGGAAGATAAGATGAGAGTTTATCTCAGGAGATGGGAAAAATGGGAAAGAGCAGGATTGAAAGAGAAATATAGGAAAATATGAACCAGGATGTTAGCAGAGGAAGAAAAAGAGAGGAAAGGGGAAAAAAAAAAGAAAGAAAGGAAGGGGAAAAAAAAGAAAAAAAAAAAAAAAAATTTAATAAGCCTCAAGAGAGTAGAATGGGATAGAGTCTGCAGAGGGGGAGGTGGGGGGAGGAGCGGTGGGAAGGGGGGGTAGTGGGATGGGAAAGAAAAGAGTTTTTAGTAAGGGATAGATAGAAATGTTAGAAATGTTTATTTGTATGAAAATTTTTTTCCCTTTTTGGGTTTTTGTAATAATATGAAAAATTTAATAAATATTTAAATTAAAAAAAAAAAAAAAAAAAAAAAAAAAAAGAGTCTGATGTGAGGAGGTAACTAGAGCAGCGTCGGGCAGGCCGGGGCGGTAACAGTGGTGGCGGTGTAGTACAGAATCAGCAGGCAGAGGGATAAACAGGTCACAAGCCGGGTTCGTCAACAGGAGGTCAGAACGTATGGGGTTAGGCAGGAGAATGGTCAGACAAAGCCAGGGATCAGAGCAGGAGACGGACAGCAAATCCGGGTCAGGCAGGGTCGGCAAGAAACAATCTACTCACAGGAACACAGATAAGACCATACGGCACTTGAGCATTGCAAGAGCCGAGTTTAAATAGCCTGCCCGACTCCTGACAGGCGCTCCTGGGTCCTAATGCTTGCCCGGCGCCGTCATTGGTGAAAGGC